AAAAAAACAATTTAAAAGAGAGAAAAAATTGCATCAAAGAAAGAATTGTATAAAGTCGCGTGACATAAACGTGACATAATATATATTTACAAATTTTTCGAATACATTGTTAATTAATTTCTCGAATTAGTAAAGGGTATAAGCGTGAATAAAGAAGGAACATATAACGAGGAACAGTTCTGGCTTCTAATGCGTTGTGCCTTCTATCCTATCATTTACACCCTTTATCGCATTTCCGGGCTATATTATGTCTAGGGTATTCATATGTGATGTAAACAAATACTCCGTACCATGAACTGTCATCAGGCACTTCGGTTAGCCGTCTTGTGGGAGGTAGTGGATAAGCGTACGGGGTTTAGTCGATGGAACGTACGTCAAAACGTCCACTTCAAAAATTTTCTTTTTACGCTTTGAACGTTGAATGTCACGTGATTCATCTTCCCCGATTGTAAAAGGTAAATAAGTTAGTTCGCTTCGGTGTTTCTTCGACTTCGAGGGATATATATAGAAGGAAACATTCATATCTGTGAAAAATGTGTGTCGTGCTATCGGTAAGCAGAGTATAAGACCTTTGAGACGCGAAATTTAAAGTATTATGCTCCGTTTATCGTTGGTGCGGCGCGAAACGAACATCGCTTGGATCTCGACATGGTAATTTTTTTCACAATCACCATAAAGTTTTCGCGCGCTGACTTCCGCGATTCCCATATTCTAGCATAATATTGCCGAGCCGTGCAGGGGCATTATGCTAAGAATATGTGGTATCGTAAGTTCATCGTAATCTTCGATATATATATATATATATATATATTATATATATAATATATAATATTATATATATATATATATATATATATAAAAATCGTACAATTTTTCGGGCGTGTAACACTTTTCCACTCACTTTTGTGATCCTTGAACACGTCATTTAACTTTAAGGGGGATGAAAAATTTAGCGCAATAGTTGCGTTTTATGCACTATTTTATGATTATTATTTTTTAGTGATTTTAATTTGCGCGGATAATTAATCGATTTTTTTTTAATTTCTAATCTTGAAAAAACGTTTCGAGTGTTGAACAACAATTAAATATCGCGACTTATGAATACAAATATATCGTAATGGGTTATCGTTTAAGTGATTCGATATTTTATATTTTTATATTTTAAACGAACGTTGTCTCGACGCAGTCGCGTTTCGATACTCGCCGCGTTAATTAGATTTATCTTCAAAATATGCGGATGGCAGTGGTAGGCGCCGGTGTGATTGGCGTAACAAGTGCGTTTGCGGTGAAAAGCGTATTCCCACAATTCGAGGTGGATATATTTGCGGACAAATTTTCACCAAATACCACTGGCGACGGAAGCGCCGGTCTTTGGACTCCTTATCTTCTCGGGATCACTCCTTATAATAAAATATCGTAAGTATTTAACACGCATTTCTCTGACGTCAGATATTTCCTATATAGTTGTAGAGCAACGAAGTTACGCATGTAAGTAATTACGTTATGCATGAAAACAACAACGCGTTCGAGTTCGAAAATCGAAGGAGAAACGTTGTTATCAGAGTTATTAAGATTAGATTTAATTTTGTAATTACGAATGTACCTGCTGATAGACAATGGGGCGGAATTACGCATCGATTGTTGGAAAAATTTTGGAAAGCGGGCTTGGCATCCGATATCGGGCTTTCCTTGCTACCAATATATCGCGTCACCAACAATCCTGATGGATTTCCCGATACGAGCTGGACCAAATTGGTATACGGTGCGCACAAACTGAATTCGAACGAACTGAAAGAATTGAATTCCGAGTGCAACGCCAATTATAAGTACAGTGTTAATGAAATTGATTTATAACATTTCGTTCGCTTGGTAAACAACTGATTCGAGTTATCAATTTGTAGACACGCGTGGATGTTCTTGACGTATACTTGCGAGCCTGTTCGTATGCTGCCTTGGTTAACGAAACGATTTCTCGAAGCGGGCGGAGAAGTTCGAAAAAGAAGATACGTACGCTATACGAATTGATCGATAATGGATACGATTTGATAATAAATTGCAGCGGTTTTGGTGCACGTGAACTCGTGGGCGATAATACCGTTACGTCCATCAGAGGTCAAGTTGCTAAGGTTGGTAGCAAATTGCTGAGAGTGAGATACCGCGGTATTATAATTTGTCAAATAAATCTTGTCATTTAAGGTGACAGCATCCTGGATAATGCATGGATATTTGGAAGAAAATGATCATGGAAATTATATAATACCGAAGTAAACGAGTCACGAATGAATCTTGAATTAATTATTAAAAATTATTATTTTTTATTTATTTATTTATTTTTATATGTCTTTTTTTTTGAAAGTATCGATAACGTAGTATTGGGCGGTACGCATCAAGAAAATGATTTGGATTGCACTCCGCGGAAAGAGGATTTCGAATTTATTCGTAACGGATGTTGTCGAATTTTACCCGCTCTCAAAGTATATAATTTGATTAAATTTATATTCTTGAACTTTGACGATGCGTAATAATAATTAGTTATATAATAATAATATTTATATTATTCAAAGAATGCGAAAGTAACAAAAGATTGGGTTGGTCTTAGACCTGGAAGATGCGAAGTTCGCGTCGAGACTGAAGTTTGCCGTTCTTCCAACGGGAGACAAGTTACGGT